GGAAGGGGGTGATGGTATCGAGTTAATGGACCACGCGATAAATTAATTTCGAATATCGCCATGGCTGCTCTCACGTGTTATGCACAGCACAAATTACACAACCTGGCATGAAATGCATAATTTGATTCCGGTTCCAATTGACCTCCTGCTATACACCCCTAGATCACGATTGCAAACTTAGTATAGGTGTAACCCGTGAGAGAGTATTGCATTGTCTTATTTTATGTACCCAGACTTGTGGCAGTGAGCCACGGCGGTGTGATACTCGCCATGCATTTTCTCAAGTAGGTACCTACCCTAATCGTATTCTGTGTGCGCTACCCGACGTCTAGCATGAACCATGGATACTTATTCGGGTGTATAACCTGAGGGGTTCAGTCACGGATGGCGGAGGACAAGCACAAGTACATCATCGTCGCCAAGTTGAAAGGAAATCTACTTCTCGAGTGTTAGCAAAGCACATTTGACATTGGTAGATCATAATTCGAGAGAAAAGTGGGCGGATCAGAAGAAAGATGAAAAGCGTATAGTTGTTCCAGCATTGAGGCAAGCCTCTTCTGGAGTTAGCATGGAGTATAAGTGTATCATCATCGCACGATTTGTAAGAAAAGTTTGAAACGTACCGGATCATGTGCGTCTGTGAACGCCGCAGGGCAGTTGAACGTTGGAATGACACCAATTACCTGCTCGGGGGTCAGTTAAACACCCTTGTGGTACGAGCGAGTAACAGTGCGTGAAATTGGCGATCAGGTAATCGAACTTGTTTTGTTCCCCACTGGTAGGTCGGTATTTGATAGTATTTAATGTTGCTCATCATTGCACAGGGTGACGGGAAGGCAGTGAGGTACTGACCTGGTTTACGCGACGCCACTATGGTCTCACGACGCCTATGCCTAGCCATATTTCTGTATTGTCTGCATTCGAGCAATCCAACGAATGCGTATCACGTCTCCGGTCTCGCAAGGCCTCGTCAAACCACGGCATCGACGCCATCAGCGCGGAGGAAAGCGCGCATGGTATATCGCATGCGCATCGGGCCTACGAGGCGTCTTTACGGACCGGCCTGTGTCTTGATGCATGTTAGCGAGTGCTCATGTAACATTTCAAACATGTAGAGGTGAGAGTTGAATTGTATCAGTAATCCCGTTTGGCTTGGGGGTCGATCAACATAGAGTTTATGATAGGGGCGACACGAAAGTTCATCATGTAGAAGAGCAGGGGGGCAGGAGCGGTTGAACTTACCAAAGGTTGGTTGTGGTGAGTGAAGGGTAATCGGAGGGCGCAGTCCTGGAGTTTTATTAACTTTTCGCGCCATCACCGGGGGATTATTTGTCCGCACGACAGCCCCGGTCGACTAGCGCGGCGCGATTTCTAGCTCCACGCGTGGTTTGCCATTCCTGTTGCTGTGCACCCGCCCATCACAGCACCCCCCAAGCGTTATCGCCTCGCGCAACAGCCATGCCGGACTCGACCTCATTTGCCACATTCGTCAAGCAGCAACGAGAAAAGAAGAAGAATGAAGAGCTGGCACAAGAGTTCCTAGGGCGCGGGCGCAAAGCCAATGCATCGGGTGCCGGCGCGGCTGGCAAGGTTCGAGACACGTCAGAAAAGCCCACATTACTGAGTCGCATAAGCGGTGGCGCAGGAGTGCAGAAGCGCTCATCTTCAGCAAAGCCAGCCGGAAGCATCGAAGGGAAGTGGCAACACGACCTGCACAAGCTCAACAATCCCAACGGTCCAGCAGCAAGGGCACGCGGCCCTGGACCTAATCGCACCACCTCGGCATCGCAAGTCGAGCGCAACAGCCGCACTTACGACAAATTCGCGTCTGTTATCAACCGCAGTACAAACCCAACGGCACGCAACAACGAGGCGCCAGGCTTCAACATCCGAGGCGTCGCGAAAGGCGGCCCATACACAGTCATTGCAAGCAACTTTGCGCCTGGAACAACAGCTGCAGACATCGAGGCTGTTATGGCGCCACACGCGGGAGAGACGCTGGGCTGCAGGCTACTTACCGCTGCGCCTACGGTAATGGTGGAGCTCCAGGTAGTGACAAAGGAGGGCGCCGACAATGTCATTGCGACTTTCAATAATCAAAAGGTGAGCTACCTTTCGGGCACTGTGATCTCATTTCTTTAACTTTCCTAGGCCGACGGCAGAGTTCTGTACGTGTACCTGAAGGAGACACCCGCCAGCAACGCTAGCCTACACTCCCGGCCACCACCTGCTCGTTCTACCCAGCCCTTCGGAGACGATATGGACATCGATACGAATGCTGGGGTACGCGGAAGCTACCAGGATGGACGATTTGGCTTCAGTGAAGGAGGCCGTAGAGAACCGCCCCGCGGACCACGAAGGCGTTACTAGGAGCCCAAGTATTAGCAAAACCTTAATGTACAATACCCATTTTACGATTGGCAATGACAGCGGCCGACATTTGCGGAAAGACGGATGATTATGCGTATTGGATCAGCGGGATCAATAGATACCAGTTTTCAGTCATGCCCTCGACTGCTTTGCTATGGACATCGTGTCACTCATATATAGAATCGAAGGGACACAAGTAGTCCCAGTAACAGGGTCGTCGCTCACGGTGATATATTGCGTACTGGCACGAATGTAGTTATTTTCCGTCTCCTCCACCTGCGACCAGCTGAACCACCAAGAATAATGCTATCGCCCACCAGTATCTGCAAATTGATTAGCATTGTATGCATCTTGATGAGGAATGTTACAGAAACTCACTTCTGCAAGAAGCTCTTTTCTGGCTCTTTCGAGTCAATCTTGCCTTCCGCGTTCAACACAATTGGTTTGTTCAACACCGGCTTCGGACCTGGTTGCCTCTTCACTATCTCGACCTCGACTTGGTCGCCAGCCTGCTTTGCGCTCGTTCCAAGTCCAACGTAATATGGCTCGCCTTTCTCATCGACATGGATGACAAACTTCTTGTGGTACTCATCCGCGAAACTCGCTGCTGACGCTACGATGCCGCGCCATGTGCCTGTTGTGGGGGTCTGACAGTCCGACACGCAAGAGATGATCGGGGGCATGTGAGCCTGTTGGCGGTGTATACGAGGACAGCGTTCCCACGGATTGGTCTATGTCGTACTCGATCTGTGCGAGGGGGATCGGTGAGGGAATGACGGCACTGTTGTCGGAAACCGGTACCGAGGAGATGTAGAGTGTCAATGAAGAGGCGACTGCTACTGGGAGCAAGAGCAGCTTTGCGAGCATCATCATGGCCGTATGGCGACGAGTTGAGATAGATGGAGCTGGGTTGGAGTGGTTGCGCAGGGCCGAAGCTTGGGGTACCACGGGGAATAGTAACGCCGATGCGCGATTGCTGGTCCTACGTCTCTCTGCTCCGCGTCTGCCACGCTAGCAAGTCGTCTCTCGTCTCGACGTGCTTCTTTTTGCATGACCGAAGTCGGTACGGCTTTGGCAAATACCAAGACGCGGTCTCACCTCAGTGGCGCTGTCAACGGCCAACAGCATCCGGAATGCCCAAACAAGTGGACCCGGGGCACCCACGATCTCCACAATCCCCAGCGCTTCTGGAATAATCGTGGTAAATCTTGACCGCTGTGACTGCGCAACTCGGCGCCCCCATGGCTTTGGGCACCTTCTCAGGGTCCCAGAGGTCACTAAGCACCCTGCCCCGCCCCCACCCATTCCACTAAAGCGTTTGATAGCTCTTGCTATGAGCTCATCCTGCACCAGGAGCTGTCTTGTGTCTCAACATTATTTTTTAATTACGTCTCGTGCTGCTCACACCTTCTCACCATTGTCAATTTCTACACTCAGTGAACATGGCCATTCCGTACAGGCAGGCCTCACGGCAGCAGTCGCGACAAATGTCGACCGATCCTCGCAACGAGCTTCACCCGCACGTTGATCATTACATCGGCATCGATGTCGGCACAGGCAGTGCTAGAGCCTGTATCATGAATGATCAGGGCGATATTGTTGGTTTGGCTTCAGAGAACATTGGTTTGTGGCAACCACAGACCGGCTACTATGTAATTTGACACAGAGATATGCCTAGTGAAGTGACAGCTGACCATTTAGGAACAATCCACGTCGGACATCTGGCGCTGCATCTGTTCGTCAGTACGTCGAGCAATGGATCAGCACAACATCGAACGAGACTCTATCCGCGGCATTGGCTTCGACGCTACGTGCTCACTTGCAGTCTTCTCCAACGACACAGATGAGCCTGTCGCTGTGACCGGGCCAAACTTCGACAACAAGGACGGTAATGATCGCAACGTAATCCTGTGGCTTGATCACCGCCCAGTTGAGGAAACAAACAAGATCAACGCGACCAAGCACAATCTGCTCCGCTACGTTGGTGGCAAGATGTCCATCGAGATGGAGATTCCAAAGGTGCTCTGGTTGAAGAACAATATGCCCAAGGACCTCTTCGACCGCTGCAAGTTCTACGACTTGACAGATGCGCTTACACACATGGCTACTGGCAGTGAGACTCGAAGCTTCTGCAGTGTAGTCTGCAAGCAGGGTTTTGTTCCAGTCGGTGTCGACGGCAGTGTGAAAGGCTGGCAAGAGGACTTCCTCACCGAGATTGGTCTCGAAGACTTAGTGGAAGACAACTTCAAGCGCATGGGAGGCGTCGACAAAGTGGTTTGTCCTACTCTACAAGTTGACTTGTATAAGACTAACCGACCATAGAACGGACGTTATCTTACTGCGGGAGAACTTGTCGGTACGTTGAGTGAGAAGGCCGCGGCAGATATGGGCCTGCAACCCGGCATTGCGGTGGGTAGCGGTGTCATCGACGCCTACGCTGGCTGGATCGGTACCGTAGGTGCAAAGGTCAAGCTCAACGAAGACACGTTGGATATGGAAGTGCCCAAGAATGATGTCTCTCAAGCCTTTACGCGCCTTGCCGCAGTTGCAGGAACTTCGACCTGCCATCTCGCCATGTCCCGCGACCCAGTCTTTGTGGACGGAGTGTGGGGCCCCTACCGAGATGTTCTCCTGCCAGGGTACTGGATGGCTGAAGGTGGCCAAAGTGCGACAGGAGAGCTTCTGAAGCACGTCATTGAGACACATCCTGCTTTCCAAGAAGCGACTTCGGTTGCGGAAACTTACAACACCAACATCTACGATTATCTCAACGAGCACCTTCGCGAAATGGCTGAGAGCGCTTCGGCACCACATATCGCATGGTTGGGACGTCACTTCTTCTTCTACGGCGATCTATTCGGCAATCGTTCGCCTGTCGCCGACCCGAACATGAAGGGCTCGGTCATCGGCCTCAGCTCTGATAAGAGTCTTGACGGTCTCGCACTCTACTATTACGCAACAATGGAGTTCATCGCTCTGCAGACGCATCAGATCGTTTCTGCTATGAACAAGTCTGGGCATGTCATCTCTTCAATATTCATGTCAGGATCACAGTGTCAGAACAATCTCCTCATGCAGCTCATGGCTACAGCTTGCGACATGCCTGTACTCATTCCTCGGTACGTCCATGCAGCCGTTGTACACGGAGCAGCTATGCTCGGTGCAAAGGCCGCAAGTACCGATAAGGATGGTAACAGTGAGCCATTGTGGGACATCATGGACAGGTTCAGTAAGCCTGGTAAGACGGTGAAGCCAATTGCCGACAAGAACTTGAAAGGGTTGTTGGACGCAAAGTACAAGGTCTTCCTGGAGCAGTGCGAAGGCCAGCAGCGCTACAGGAAAGAGGTTGACGACGCCATTAAGGGCTGGACGTCTAAGTCATAGGCTATCGTAGAGGTTGCTGGGTTTGCAAATCGTAGGACGGATTGTATGACCGGACAACAATTTTCAGACGGCGCAGAGTCCCTGCAAAAATAGTGCATAGCAACTGCACTGTGATCCACTTATGATAGCATTTTGGTTGCTACTCATTATCAAAACGGGCTTGTGAATCAAAGCGACTACGCAATACACACAGGTCGGACACTTGACCCAACTGCATCTTGGAGAGCGTGCTTTCACATGTCAATTAGGCTATGTTCCTGAACATTCGCGCGACTTGTGCGGTGATCTGGCCACGCCACTTGGCAGGGATAGCCACAATGCATAGCCCCGCCTACGTCATGGCCGTACGTTTCTCGACTTCGCCCCGCGCCTGTACCACTCCGCAAAAACGACGCACTTGGTATATAAACACGTCATTCCGCAAATATCTCCAACACACACTCTCCAACGACGACTCAATCTTTCTTACCGAAGTAATTGACCGAAGTAATTGTCCGAAATAATTGTCGTTTACACTTGCACCTACCAACAAGCACCCCCAAGAACACACCGTCAACATGGCCGCCACCGTCAATGTTGAGAACATCAGTACAAAGACTAGCGAAGACGAGATCAAGTCCTTCTTCAGCTTCTGCGGCAAGATCCAGTCCATCAGCGTAAAGCCCTCGGGCAACGACGCTCAGACTGCCTCGGTCACCTTTGAGAAGACGGCTGCTGCGAAGACGGCCCTGCTCCTCGACAACACACAGCTTGGCCCCAACTCGGTGCATGTCACCTCGGCAAAGTCGCTTGATGAAATCGCCGGTGAGAAGGCTGCCTCTGCGGAGGAGGCCAAAGACGGTGACCACCACATCGAGCAGGAGCAGAAGCCCCGCGCGCGTATCTTCGCCGAGTACCTCGCCCACGGCTACGTCATCTCTGACAAAGCCATCGAGGCTGCCCTTGCTACAGACAAGCAGCACGGCTATAGCAACAAGTTCACACAGGCTCTCCAAAACTTCGACTCCAAGACACAAGCCACACAGAAGGCTCAAGCGGTAGACAACAAGCTGGGCCTTACCCAGAAGGCGTATGCTGGTTGGACTAGTCTGACCAGCTACTTCGACAAGGCTGCCAACACTCCCACTGGTCAGAAGCTCCGTGGCTTCTATGAGCAGGGCAACAAGACCGTCATGGATGTGCACAACGAGGCTCGCTACCTTGCCGACCTCAAGAAGAAAGACCAGGGTGGCAAGGATATGAATGTCCACCACCTCCCCGAACCCGACTCCGACAAGACCACTTGCAACTGCCAGGCAGACACCGGTAACTGTCAGTGTTCTCCTAATGAGTGCGCCTGCTCCGGCTGCGGTAAGAGCAGCGTACCCAGTGCCGAGAAGATGAACGTTCACGCCCTACCGCCTCCCAACCAGACTTTGACGCAGTGCGACTGCGCTTCCGAGGCTGGCAAGTGCCCGTGTCCTGAGGGAAAGTGTGCGTGTAAAGGTTGTGCCAAATCCAAGGACGCTGGCAATGACAAGATCGCTATCTAGGCATGAAGTATCCGGCGTTAGTGGATGGTGAAGTGATACCAGTTTCCTCAGTAGACAATAAGTCTCCTCTGAGTCTATGTAATAGTAGATGCTAGCTTTAAAAAGAATTCACACAAGTCTTTTACCATATCCACGACATTCAGCCAAACAGATGCGTTCTATACTTGTCTAGAGACATGTTTACACGCAAATAGCACAGCTTGCATAGCTAATATAGAGTCTGTATTCTAGGCTTAGTTAAATCTATCTATATATTCTAGCTTCTAACCCACGAAGATAGGACCTAATATGTTAGTAGCTCTGCTATCTCCTACTATATATATGTAAACTAGTCTACAAATAACTTAGCAGCAAAGCTAAAGCTCTAATATACTAATAATATCTTTTAATATTATATTAGAGCTAAAAACTTTATAACTATAATAATTAATAGTAAGTAATTATAGTAATAACTAGAGCTAATTCTTAAATGCAGTATAAGCTACTACTACTATTATTATAAATACTTACTCTATTATATTATTAGATTTTTTCTACTATCTATTACTATATTAAGATTTTAGGTATATAGCCTATTCTATTATCTTGCTCTATTATTACTTTACTATATTATTAGAATTAGAATTATATTTTATAGATATATTATAACGTAGTTTATAAGTAAGCGCTGCACTTAAGTAAGCACTATAGTCTCTCTACTAAAATAACTACGCAGTAATATAGCATAATACTATAATAAATTTATATACTATATATAATAATATACTATTTTTTTGAATTATTACTATCTTCTATATTCTCTATTTCTATCTTATAAGTATAAGTATTATATCTAGTCTTACTATAAGTACTATAGCGCTTCTCTATATGCACTTTCTTTAATAGTCTATTATTATTATAATAGTTCTTTACTATTATAGTAATTAAGTCTAATATCTTACTAACTATTAAGATCTTCTCTATTTATATATATTATTATTTATATACTTTATACTTTATTATTACTTCTATAGTATCTTAAAGATAGCTTATTTCTTTCTATATTAATATTATATTATATACTATTTACTAAGCAGCTTTACTTAGCTATATAATTTTTATTAGTCTATTAACCTTATTATAGAACTTATATAGTTTTATACTCTCTATTAAATAAGCATACTCTATACTTTTATCTTATAAGTATTATATAGTATCTTTGCTTACTAAGCACTATTCTTTAATAGTTATTAATAGTAGAGTATAGAAGTATATATTAAGCTTTAATGATACTATCTCTAGATTATATAAAGCTAATTTAGCGCCTTAAAACTTTATATAAATATTCTTTACTATAAATATCTTCTTAAAAGCAGCTTTAAAGGCTAGTAGAAAGATTTTCTTCTTAATATAGTAGATATAACTATATGCTAAGGCTAAGATACTATTATTATATATATGCTTTAATAGTAAGAAATAGGTTATATTAAAGTAGCTATAGTAAATAGGATAAGTATATAGATATATAGAGAGTAATAATCTTTTTCTTCTTATAGTATTTCTAGAATTCTACTATATAATAGCTCTTATAGCTATTAATAATAATAAGTAGCTTATATACTCTAATAAAATATATATAAGAGTTAAAGTATTTAAGCTAAGTAAGCGCTAAATTATTATTTATCTAGCTAGTAAAGCTAACTTAGATAACTTAGTTATATAGAAGATTATAGAACTAGTTTAAGATAAGAATTTTACTTATAAAGATAAGAAAAAAGTAGAGTTATCTTTTTTATTATATTAACGCTTTATACTAATATAATTTACTTATAATTACTAAGCTAGAGCTTCTTTACTTTCTTAAGCTTCTCTAAACTTATTACTATAAGCTAAGAGAATATCTTACTTATTAAGAAGCTAGACTTATTAAAGTTATATATATTCTTATCTATAACTCTATACTTCTTCTTTATACTCTAAACTAGTATAAACTAAAGCTAGATAATTACTAGATTCTTATAGATAGCTTACTAGTAATTATATAGATAGCTTTAGCATATTTGCAGCTTAAGAGTATACTTAATAAAGTTATTAACTTAGTTCTTGCTAATAAGCTTACTAGCATGCTCTCTAAGTAGTCTATTAGCTATATCCTTATACGTTAGCCTTTAAGATAGATAGACTATATATAGAATACTATTGCAGTATTAATACCTAAGAATAGTAAAATACTAATCTACGTAACTAAGCTAACTAAGCTTAGAAAGTAGACTAACGTTTCTCTATAATCTATTTATATATTTAAGCTAGCTCTTCTAATATATTAGAAGAGTAGTAATTAATATAATCTTTTCTCTTAAGTTTACTTAGCTATAATAGTTATAAGCCTAGCGCTATAGAATTATAGAGTTAATTCTCTACTATGCATCTTATATTTACTAAGTACTTAAATTAATTATTCTACTACTCTTATTTCTCTTAAACCTCTTAAATTATCCTAATAATATTAGTCTAAATAGACTAAATAGACTAGATAAAACTTTCTTCTATAGTTACTTTTTAAGCTTATAAAGACTAGCTAGTATAGTATATTTAGCTTAAAGTTTATGCTATTAGAAAGCAAATATAAGACTATATTAATCTAGATAGCTTATTATAGCCTAATCTTCTTAATAATGCTCTTATATATCTAGAATTATCTACTAAGCTAATTAAGCTAAAGAATCTTTCTACTAGAGCTACTAATAAAGTAAAAGCTAATTATAAAAAGTCTTTATAAGAATATATTAAAGATATTAAAGCTTATAAAGTTTTATTAGCTAACTATAATAAGAAAGTTTAATAATAGAAAGTTCTTACTACTAAATAGTCTTAAAAAGCTGCTATACTTATAAATCTTTAAGACTAGATTATAAAAATAGTCTTACTAGATCTTCTTAAGCTTATCTAGATTAGGCTTTTCTAGATAAATAACTTAAGCTTCTAATTATAACTTAAACTGCTTAAAGATTAGCTAGCTCTAAGTAAGGCTATAACTTAGAATTAAATTAGATAAGAGTACTAAGCTTATCTAGATAAAGCTAAGCATAGTAGAATTAAACTAGAGAAGTAGTTTAATAGATAGTAAACTCTCTATGCCTAAGCTTAGACGTACAACGTCTTAGAGGTTAAAGAGACTATTACTCTTACTAACATTTCTTAAGGCAAATATAGCAAAATATGCCTTAGAATAGGCTTAATAGAAATAAGCAGAAGTTATAGAAAGAGCATCTCTAAGAAAAGGATAATCTAATATTAGATAATATTACTATAATATTTAATGCTATACTAACTAAGTAATCTAAAAGTATAGAAAAGATAAAGAAACTATTAATCTTTGCAGTACTAACTCTAAATAGGCAAACTACTTAGAGTAGCTTAACTAAGAAAACTAAAAAAGGCCTAAAAGTATACCTATGCATTTAACTAAACTCTTAAAAGCCTTAATTAGATAAGTTTTATTGCTAGAAACTAATTAACTACCTTAAGCTTTAAATAGTAGTAATAGAATTAGCTTCTAGTAATCTAATTAAGCTTAATAATATAGATAAAAAAAGAATCTTAGAATAGTATAATAAGCCTAAGTAGCAAGAACTCTATAAATAGATTAAGAAGTTAGAATAGTCTACTTTCTTTAGAAAGAAAAGATTAGATAAAAATTATTCTATTACTATTTAGATAACTTTAATTAATCTAACTCTCTTCTATAAAAGAGCTATTAGAGATCTATAGTACTACTTTTAATTAGCATTTACTATATTAATCTATAATTCTTAATAGTAGAGCATGCGTCTACTTAGTAAATAATTAGAGCCTAATTAAGAAGAGAATATTTATTAAAGCTATAAATAGAGAATATATTAAGATAAGAACCTAATATTTACCTATTAATAGTATTAGTACTTAGATTATAAGAAACCTTATAATTAGACTAAATAGGCTATATATAGTAGATCTTATACTTACTAATATAAAGGTTATTAAGAGTTTCTATCTTAATATTATCTTAGAAGTAAGACTTTAAGATTAAGAAAACGTCTAGTATACTAGTTAGAATTAAATGCTTTAATATAATAACTTATCTAAGAATAAGTTACTCTATACGCTTATTAGAAAGTATAACCTTAACTTCTTAGAATTAATTAAGTCTTCTTATTCTCTAGTCTCTACTATTATAAAAGCTATGCTAAGATTATATTATCTATAAAATAGAAGTAGTAATAAGTAAATATAG